ATTTTGTTTTTCAAATATTGATGTTTAACAGAGCAAGGAAATTTTCACAGTATGTCTGATAATATTTTTTCTTCTGGAGAAAGTCTTTTGTTTTGTTTTTTCGGCTAGAATAAAAGCCTAAAAAAAAAAAATTTAGGGTCAAAATTATTAGCCCCTTTAAGCTACATTTTTTTCGATAGTCTACAGAACAAACCATCTTTATACAATAATTTGCATAATTACCCTAACCTGCCTAGTTAACCAAATTAACCTAGTTAAGCTTTTAAATGTCACTTTAAGCTGTATAGGAGTGTCTCGAAAAAATATAGTCAAATATTATGTACTGTCATCATGACAAAGATAAAATAAATCAGTTATTAGAATTGAGTTATTAAAACTATTATGTTTAGAAAAGTGTTGAAAAACATCTCTCCGTTAAACAGAAATTGGGGGAAAAAATAAATAGAGAAGTGAATCTCAGAAGTTTGCAACTGTACATTAGAGAATATCACATATTCTTTAAGTGGAAGTGGTAAATTGTTTAAAAAGATTTGAATTTGATTCAATTTTCTGATAATTTTTTGATAATTTTTGATAATTTGAATTATGTAAAAACAGAACCACATGATTTGATTTGACAAAATAGTTTACCCCTTTAGTTGTATCTCCTTGCTTTGTATTATTTATTTTTACAGAGAGGAAAATAAGGATTGAACTCGTCACCAATTTACTTATCAATAATATTGTTAAAGGTGCAAAATTAAGTCTATACATTTTTTAATGGCAGTTTATCACATTCAAATGTAATATGCTGTATCTGAGTAACAACCACAGAAACCAATACATGCAAAGAAAACAAATCTAAATGGTTTACAAATTAAGTTATGTGTAATAAAATTAAATGCCACAGGGAAAAAGCATTGAACACATGAAGAAATGGAGGTGTAGAAGTGAAGGCCCAGACAGAAAATCAAGCTTTGTATTGTTTGGGTTTTTACTAAAATTCCATGTCAAGAGCTCCATTAGAAGTATTATTTTAAGGAAAAAACATGACATATTCAATACTTATTTTCCCTGCTGTATATGCTGTGTGTATTATTTTGTTTGTTGTTAACTTTTGGTGTTCTGTATTGTTCACTTTCGAAAAAGCAAAAAATAAATAAATAAATAATAAGAAGAAAATAAGTATATGAAATGGCTATATACTGTAAAAAACAAATAATAGCTTAGTTTTAGATTAAATGTTTAAACAGCTTCCCGTATTTGTCACTGACTGGCTCTTTTTGTGCAGATTGGAGACAGTGATGCAGGCTGGACTCTAGGTTACATGCTTAACCTGACCAACATGATTCCGGCTGAAGATCCAGACAAGCCACTGATGCCTCATGGAGGATACGTCACATTTATGCTCCTCTTCTCACTTTTGATACTCGTCCTCATCATTATGGCCTACATTTATTTCCGTCGCTTTACTAAAACAGCCCAGAAAGACATTATTTAGACAAAAATACTGTGCTGTGATCTCTTAATATTGGATGTGTTTTTATCTCTGCAGAATATTAAAAGATCCGAAATCAGGTTTTGCCTTTATCCAAGCGGTTTTACATTTCAAAGAATCCGTACCTCATGTGAAGGACAAGCAGGTTTTAGGAGAGAAATGGGTTTCTAGTTCCACTGCAGCTGAAGGGACATTAAACTCTTTGCCCATTTCTTTGTGACCACTTTAAATGTTCTTAAAAATCAAGTCAGGTTTTAGCTTTTGGGGACTGGGTGGAAAAGGGTTGCCGAGCTACCTTCAAACGAAAAGTGCACTGACATTGGATATATGGTGTGCGTTTAGTCTGAATTGAAGGTCTCCCCATTTATGCAAAGAAAAGCACACATCTTGATGCCAGTTTGTTGTCGTTGTCGTTGATCTTTTTTGCCTTGTTCATATGTATTATCACTGGATATCAATCTTTAAATATGTAATTTCAGCATAGCACATTTTTAATGAATTGAAAAATGTGAGGCCATTTTAAGTGTCATTGCATGTTTGTTTTCTGCTTTTTCTGTGTCAGTTTGTTTCGCCATACTTTGTAATATCACAATGTAACAAAAAGTTAAAGTAATCATTTGTTCATGTCTGCTTCTGTAAGGCACATTCCAGATCTGAAAAACCTGTATGCTCTGAGTTGATGTGTAAAATTATGTGAGATGTTGTGTTTATCTATTTTATGTACAATTGTAGCAACTTTTCTATTAAATGTACTTTTTTCATTTGTTTTCTAAAAGGTCTCTTACACTCAGCAAGGCTGCGTTTATCAATTCAAGTAAATATAAACAATATTAAGTAATATTCAAATGTAAAAAAAAAAAATATTGTTTTATTAATTTTATTCTCATATTGAATTTATAGTAAATTTAAATATAGGGTAAATTAGGGTAAAAAATGGTAAATTAAATTAAATTGAGCTGCTTGATAGCGGTGAGCAGGGACAAAAGTACACTGTAAACCCCCAAAAGTTAAGGTAACTCAAACCGATTGCAACAAACCATTTCAGTTCAAAAACTAATCCTAATGAGTACTGTGAACTTGAGTAAACTTGAGTGCATTTGAGTAAATGAAGCAATTTGAGCACAGTAAAACCCAATAAATGAAGAGAACTCAAACCAACTGAGTACCATAAAGTCAACTCAAACCTTTTAAGAAAATCTGATTGCTACAAACCATTTGAGTTAAAAAACTAATCTATGAATAGTCAACATACTTCATTTAAGCTGAAGTAATGAGTTACTTAATTAACTCATAACCGTCAACGCTGAGTCCAAAACTCTTTTCAAATGAGTAGAATTAACTTTCAGTCAATTTTGAGTTAACTACACTCATTTCATTTAATAAAGTGGACTGTTGGGTTGTACAGTGTAACATTCTTTATAAAAACACTGTAAAACCCGATAAGTTAACGGTTTTGAGGAAATCGATTGCGGCAACCATGTAAGTTTTTTAACAAAATGGTTGAGTACTGTAAATGTATATGTTGTGTCACATACACATATATCATTTGTGTTAATACCATCAAACGTATTAGTATTTAAGTTACTTATTAAGTTACTATGAGTATCAGTAACTTAAATAGTTTATCAAATCCCTATTAGTTCAATTAACTTAAACTGATCAATTAACTTGAAGTCCAAACAACTACATTGTAAAACCCAACAGTCAACTTTATCAAATTAACTCAAACTCAAAATAGACTGAAAGTTAATTCTACTCATTCGAAAAGAGTTTTGATCTCAGTGTTGAAAGTAATGAGTTGATTAAATACCTCATTACATGCAACGTAAATGGAGTAAGTTCACAATACTCATATAGATTAGTTTTTTAACTCAAATGGTTTGTTGCAATTGGTTTCCTCAAATGGTTTGAGCTGCCTTAACTTATTGGGTTTTGCAGTACTCAGTTGGTTTGAGTTCTCTTTATTTATAGGGTTTAAAGCTGTGGTCACACTAGAGTTTGAGCTTGTGAAATTCTGTCGCACGGCTCTGCGAAAAGGGGTGGGATTAAACAAAAGGATTGGACATTTAAAAAGCGTGTGATTGCTCTATGTTTTACATTTCTGTCCAGAGATGTCATGTTTTGATCCTTGATTGGTCTCGCGCAGTGATGCGATTTCGCAGGTCAGAGTTCACCAAGCTTGAACTTTGCACCACAGCGACCTGCAAACTTGACGCATGACCTTGCATTTCCGGTCTGAGGCATTCGCGTGCGTATGAATGGAAGTCCATAGGGAGAAAAATCCAGCGTGACTGCAGCTTTACTGAGCTCAAGTTGCTTCATTTACTCAAACTGATTAGGTTCACAGTTCTCATTAGGATTATTTTTTTTTACTTAAATGGTTTTGCAATCGGTTTTCCTCAAACGGTTTCATACCTTAACTTTTTGCGTTTTACAGAGTATATATAGCTACTCAAATGATTTGGCATTCTTTCTAGCATTAGAGTTCACTTTAAACATAAGTTGCACATTGTTAATTTTGACCCCGTCACTAAAGACAAAAGTAACATGTAGGTCAAAAGTAACAATATTTGCTAGATTTATCTTGTTTATTTTAAATACATCTGACTACGACCATGTTAATGTTTACAGCAAAAATATTTTGTCCTTTATGTTCACAAAAAATATCAAATGGAATTTCTATCAAATGTCTCAAAAGCAATCCAACAATGCAAAATGTTAAAATTTTCTACAATTTTGGAATATTTTTATTGGCAATATGCATTAATCTTATAAAACATCTCAATCCAAACACTGCAAACTCTAATGTGGAAGTGAAAAATAGGGTTTGGCTATTAGCAGTGGGACATAAATAACAGTGTTACTTTCGTTCCCACAGGAGCTTTTGTCATTTAAACCTGATTTATTTTTAAACTGAAAAACTTTTTAAATTGATTTGAGTTTGATTGCAAACTCAATAGTGTTATTGCATTAAATAACCTGTAGTTGATCATTAGTGTGATCCATGAAAAGAGAAACACAACTTGTAATGCGGAAAAAAAAACTGCAATACAATCATTTCTTTTTGCACATCAAAGATAAAATTTGGAGCTTATTGCGGGACGAAATCAGCTGATATTTGGCAGCTCCATCAAGGGTTGATTGCTGAATGTGCTGTTACAGCCTAGAAAGCAAATGTTGTCAGGGCTTCGAGAAAATCGTTTTTTTTTTTTTACTTTCATCCCATGTTACGCTCTCCCCTACTTAAGTAATTTAAGTAAAATATTGGTTTATTCTGTAAACTCCTGATGAATATTTTTTTTTAAAAGTGAGATTTTGATAATGAATGAAAATCCAGTTTTCAACTTTAATTTTTATATTTATTTTTTAGACAACACAATACTAATAGTTACCTTCAAAACCATTAAGAAATCAATAATTTGGTTGATTTAAAAAATAAAATCACAACAATTACAACCATTTTTTATTTTGAACATTTGTCACAATATAGAATTGTTTTAATATAATACTTATATTTTTTCTTGCGACAGTATGCATGAGATACACATTGATTCTTGATTATTATTGCTATTGAGAAGTAACAAAAATCCTTACAAAGGTTTATATCAAGCCTTAATTCCACAGGAATATATGAACAAAATATTGCCACTGATAAAGATACAACATAAGAGATTAATCTGATGATGAATCAATAGCAATAGCCTTTCTTACAGATCACACAAGAGGCAATAACACGGGCATATACATATTAATGATGCATAGACCCAGTGTGAGTATAGATGGGCTTATTCATTAGGAATATTTTTGCAGTGAATATATTGGCAAATATACGGTAACACTTTAGTTTAGGTCACAAGTCATGCTAATAACTACTGGTTTATTACCTGTCTATTATTAGGATATTAGCCGTTTGTTAAAGGATGATCTTATTCTGCATCCCTTATCCTACCCAAAACCTAAACCCAACTTCTACCCTACTAACTATTAATAGGAAAGCAGCTAATTAGTCATTTATTACGCTTGTAGTGTTAGTTCATGGTTTGTTAATACTGTGAATTGTGACCTAAAGTGTTACCAAATATACTTCAAGCGGCAATTAAATATACAAATTTCCAAACTCACATGGTTGTGCTTAAAAAAATAACTTACTCATCATTGACAGTACAGAAACAATCAAATCTTAAAGCTTTGCATAGAATTAGTCAGTTTTCTAATATTCTAGGGATAGCACCTTCCTTTATTGATATTTCTCAGCGTAGTTATTCCCATTCAATTACTTGATGCGCATCATGTATGTCCAAGAGAGTCATTAAAGGAGTTGTTTTCCCATACGAAGCTCGTGGATTGAATCAAACGGGGATTCAGCGGACACCGGTAGTTTTGGAGTTGCAGTTTTTGGCCTCTCTGGGTCGTATATGAAGCATCTCTGAGTGTTTGTCTCTGGCGCTCTCTTGTGGTTGTCTTCGGCTGTGCAGGATTGATCGCAATTGCGGCAGGCACTGGTCCCAGTCCTCGGGCAGCAGGAGCAAAAGAAAGCCCAGACAGATGATGGATACCGCAATGACGCGCACGCTGTTGAGCTGGATGTCATACATGTAGCGATCTATGACTAGAGGATGGAGTAGATACAGTATATTACGTTTAAGTAATCTAATTAATGATGACTATTTAAAAAAAAGAAAGATTTATTTGCACTACCATTCAAAAAGTCTAGGGTTAGTAGTAATTGTTGGTAGGATTAATACTTTAACATTGTAAAACTGAATCATCATTTTAGAATATTTCTTAAAGATCAAGTGATGCTGTAAAATGCATTATTGCTGCCAAAAACATCAATAGTATTTATGATGCAAGCTGAGATTGCATCACTCGGCGATGCAATGTCAGACACAATGCACTCAATGGAGTGAGTGACGTCACTGTGACGGGTGGGGTAACCGCATTAAAAAGCATTGGATGCAGCTCAGATTGCACTGCACTAGGTCTGCATCTAGACCCCTCTCAAAAACATGCTGCTTCACCATCATAGTATTAAAAAAGTCAATATTTGTATGAAGGGTTGCCGCTGGCCGCCACGGGCCCTCTGACAAGTTGAAAGTGAGGAGGGGGGGGTTGATGTATGGGGTTGGGATAATGTCTCTGGGTAACATTTTCTAATAAGGTATTAGGTAATGTTAAATAATGCATTTACAAACATGAACAAACAATGAACAATACATTTATTACAGTATTTCTTCATGTTAGATAGCACTGGTTAAAGAAAATGCAGTTGTTCCAAGTTCAACAATAACTAGCATGAATTTGGATGTTAATAATGCATTAGTGAATGTTAATTAATATGATTTGGTAAATTCAAGAGTTCAAACTTAGCTGATGTGTGATTATTAGCTTGTTTGGCATGCTGTCCTGGGAGAGTTCCCTGAGCTCATAAGATCCTCGAGCCCTGGGCTCCCCTTGGGTTTGCAGGGCAAGAGGGGTGATTGAGCTCAGGTAGATCTCGAGAACTCCCTTATTGTTTATAGCTAATGACGAATTGCTTGATGGAAAAAATACTGTTGGATAGAGACTTGACTATGGTGCCAATTTGGGTCAGTTAATTTACTTATGACGCATGTCTTTGGATGGTGGGAGGATACAGGGGAACCTGGGGGAAACCCACACGAGCGCGGGGAGATCATGTAAACTGCACAGAAACGTTGACTGGCCTAGTAAGGATTAAGAAAAAAAAAAGGAGGAATAGGGGAGGAAGGGGGATTTTTCAAGACGAAGATGACTGTGGTATGAAGGCTATGGTTATTTATAGTGACTTAGGAATCGTCTGATTGGAGAATCATGTATTAGCGAATGTGGGTCCAGTCGTGGTGCATTATAAGCACGTGATCCTCTTAAAATTAGTTTATAAATAAACTTTTCTTATAATTTTTCAATTATAAAACATAAACTATGATTAATAAATGGTGTACAAGTATTGTTCATACAGTAATTCATTCATGACATGTTAGTAAATAGATTAACTGATGAAACCTTATTGTAAAGTACAGTATGATAAACTATTTTATAAATGCCTTGGTGGGCATTTTTTTCCCCCCAAAACACCAATAAAAAAACAAATATATAATAAAATATTTACTTAGTAGCCATATTCTTTTAAAAAAGTTTAATAAAAAAAAAAATTATTCAGTAAAAGTGAATGGTGACTAAAAAGTTGTCCAAATAGAGTTCCAAGTTTTCACATTCCACTAAATTTATCTTATTTTCTTGATGAGAAAAATGCATTAATCCTGGTTTGGCATGACATCAGGCTAAATGTGAGTTGTTGTTTTTTTGGGAGAAAAAATATGCAAAATTGCACAAATAAAAAAAACATTTATAGTAAATGTTTTATTTACCTTCCTGTCATGTTCACCTCCCGTCCCTTACTTTAGTGTTCCCGGTCAAAATTTACCATTGAAGCGCTCTCTTTAACTGCTCTTAAATTGCTCAAAAAGCATTTTCCACCACCAAATATTTATTCAACATTCTTTAGCTGTGAACAATTTCAACTAGTGTTTAACATGAATTTATAGAATTAGACATAAAACAAATGCAGTGAAAATACAAATAGACACTGAAAATGTTTACAAAAACTCATGTGTGAGAGAGTGAGTTGGGGTGGTGTGGTGTGTATGGGAATGTTTTCTGTTTGATGGTTAAATATAGTCTGAATACCCATTTATTTCCTATGGCGATCAATTTTGACAGGGAACACCACAGGTGTAACAAGGTTGATTAAAACACTCAAAATTCAATGAAAGAGGTGATCACTTTTATATGTTCAAGTACATAGTGTGGAGGATATCAAAAGGCCTTAGGGTAGGGGTGTCCACACTCGGCCCTGGAGGGCCAGTGTCCTGGAGAGTTTAGCTCCAACCCTAATCAAACACACCTGAACCAGCTAATCAAGCTCCTACTAGATATACTAGAAACTTCCAGGCAGGTGTGTTGAAGCAAGTTGGAGCTAAAGTCAGCAGGACACTGGCCCTCCAGGACCGACTTTGGACACCCCTGCCTTAAGGCAATCAGATGTGAAACGCTGTGTTTTAAGTTGTAAATCGGTCAGATTTGACCTGAACACAACTGGAAGGTTAGTTTATTAATTCTTTAGTTTGTTTACTATTTTTGCAGATTGATAGCTCCCAGTCACCTCTCCTAATCAATAGAAAAGAGCAACACTTATATGCTTTCATATGTAAAAACCTAAAGCTTAGTAAATGATGATCAAATACATCTTTCATGTAACTTTCCCTTTAAAATCAGCAACTTATTCCAGTATGACTCACCAGCATTGACCGGCACACTGAGGACAACACCCAGAGAAATCAGAGTAGGAAGTGTTATCAAAACACCACAATTCAACAGGAAGTTGAACACTAGGAGTGCAACCAAAGAAGAATGTTATTATGACATTAGAAGAGGAGATAACAAGCTTTTAGGATTTACCAAGTTTGTGTATTTGTGTCCATCCTCTTACCCAGTAGTAAAGCAGACATGCCACATATGCTTGACCAGGGTAAATCTCTAGGTGAAATGAAGTCCTCTGCCCCTGTGAGCAGCAGTATGAGAGGTACAGCGCTAATGAAGATCAAATTAGCTCCGCCGAGAATGGTAAGATACACCGCCGCTTCACCCAGCTTCGCACTACCCAAAACAAGCTTGAAAAGAACCTGAAGAAACACATAATTGAATGCTCATTATAAACATCACTGGTCAGTACTGTATGACACTGAAAAATGTGTTTGTTTTGCTTAATAATCATCTCTTACTTTGTAAATAGCTGCTGTAGATGCAGACCCAACGACAAGTGAGATGCCGATCACAGAGTAACTGTGGAAACCGTCGGCATATGTCATCATAACAATCCCACCGATGGCTAAAACGGCCGCCACAATCTGAGATAGAATACAGATAATCAATGGATGAAACAATAAAAATAAACAATGACGAAATAAACAATGGATTCTATGATGAGAATACAGATAAACACCAACAACTTTATAATAACAAGGTAACACTTTACTTGAAGGGGTGTTCATTAAACTGTCATGAAACCTTCATAATCATTACTTGATACATGTCATGGATATGAATTAGGTTTTATGCATTGCAGTGTCATTCACTCAGTGGTGAAATGCAAAGATGACACTTTGTTATGACATAATGGGGGGATTTTAAAATTTGATTAACAAGTTTGTTATTACCTTAAATTATACTAAAGGATCATACTAAATTAAAACTGAACCACGACAAAATAATTTTGACATATTCTCACCCTTACTCCCATGAAGCGATCCCGCAGGACGATCCAGGATATGAGGAAGACAAAGGCACGACTGCAGCAGAACAGCGCACAGGCATCAGTGGCAGGGATTCTGCGAAGGCCTTGCAGGTATAAGTAGCTGGTGAGAGTCCACAAGACTCCAAAGGGAGCCACCCGAGAGAGCAGCATCTTCAGAGACAAGCCGTCATCTCCCAGAAACTGACAACACTCTCTGTTGTGAATCCACACACATGCAGATAAGAACTTTTTTCCCTTAGACATGAAATCCTCTAATTAGATGCACATAAGACCTAAAACATGACTAATGGATGGCAAATGGATTTTCAGGGTGGATTTGTCCCTATCACAAGTGGAAAATGCTTTTTACATGACATTAACAAATGAAGCCTTACTGTTCAGTTAATAAACGAAAGGCCTATACAGTAGATAGTCAGAATTTTCAACAATGTAAGTCAGATTAACTTATGATCATTAAATAATGATTATGCTTAAAAATAAACCTGTCAAGACATCTGTCAAGTGTTTATTATTCGCTGCTGTGAAATACAGCAATCTGTATATTCTTGAAGTGCACAGAAAAAAATTAATAATAAACAACTATTCACAGTATTTTGAAGTGCCCATGATATCAATATCATGCATGTTCATTACCATAATATATTGAATTATTGAATATTGGCATGTCAAAACAGGGTCTAATGTTTTGAATTTGTCCACATTCAATCATTTTCAGAGGCAGACTAAATAACTCACCTGGTTTGCTTTTGTAAAGGAAAAAGGATTAGGGCTGAATACATTCAAACAATTACATAAGACTTTCCATCCGACCTAAAGTGTTTGGGAACATGTTTTGAGAAAGAGCGCTGAAACAACGTTTTAAGGCTTTTCTGCGTTGTACCAAAACATACACATTATGAAAATTGTATCTGTATATCCACGTTCAATTAAATTGCTTGCTTTCTTAAAGTCGTGCAACATGGGTTTGTTCATCCAATAATGTTTGCACATTAGTACTCCAGTAAAGGTGCTGTAAAACGTGATAAAATGAGGGAATTGTCTAAATGAAATCTGAACACAAGTGGTCACAAAAGACACATTTGATTGCATTTCAATACCAGATAAAAAACATCACTGAAAACACAGGTGGAAAATAAGAACTTTAAGAAATATTCACTATTTAAACTCAATAAAATCGTCCAATTTGAACCCAAACCAGTGAAATTATATTTTTTGTTGAACTACACCTACTTCAGAAGTGCAGCTTAGCACAAAAGACAACCTTTAAAATAAGTATGCTTTAAAACAAGTATGCTGTGTTGAACTCATAAAAAAGCAAGATGCCATGGGACATTGTTAAGAAAATGAGGTTAGGGTCAAGTCCTCTATCTGAGCAGCCCAGCGCAACAAAACTGCAAAGTCAACAGTCACTCTAGTTCTGCAAGCCAAATTGAGGTGTCTGCATAAATCCAGACTATTACAAAGTGCAGCACTTTTCACATGCAGTGAATTTCAGTATAGAATCAGAAAAAAAAATATCTCCTTGTGTGAACACAACCCATCTCACCTAAAGCGCTGTCTGGGGGTCTGTCTGTCCTTGCTCCAGCACAGGTGACCCAGGTAGTAGACGGGGAAGATGGCACAGTTCCAGGAGGTGGAGAACCAAGTGAGGGTGAATGGGATATTCAAGCGTCTAACAGTTATTTTGGCCAACTGAGTGCTTCCTGACCAAGACATGCAGATGCAGATGACCATAGCGACACCCCACAGTGCTCCGCGTAGATGCACCGCAGTCAAATGCAAACAGCAGCGGAGCCTCTGCAACCTGTCTGCACAATCTAATAAGGCTGTCCCAGAATGACCATCCACCTTCACTTCCACCTTCTCACTGCTGGACTGCTCCTCCCCTGCAGATACACACAATGTTTTATAATACAAAGTCATAAGCATAAACCACAGGCATGCAAACGCATCGTCGCCTCTCTTCTTTCAGCTATAAACTTTCATGCACTGCTATTGGATAAATCTGCATAACAAAGCTGGTGCTGACAAAGCTGAAATCCATTACATGAGCAATTTAAGTACCTTTGTAATGTCTCAATGTATAACTTGAACTAAGATTTTTTTTTTTTTGTAACATAAATTGCAGAATAAAAGTAATATTTCTTTTGTTAAAATACTATTAAAATAAATACACATTTTTAAGCTGTCACCACACATCTGGAGTTTACACCTGAAAAGTATAGGTGATATAAGAATATTATATAAAATTCAGGTTTAGACAATTTTGTCTTTTGTTTTTATTTATTATTTACGAAAAAAAACTCTCACCTACCGGACAGTGACCTTTAAGTTGAAAGTGATATACATAGGCTGGGTGATCTTCCCAAAATATATATATTATGATCTTACAACACACATCCCTTATTTACAATCTGAATCCAAAGTCCAGTGAATAGAGGAATTACCATTAACCTATGTCAAACGGGTTCCCGGTTGCAAGTAGAGAATGGTTGCAATAGCAAACATGTTGTGTTGTGTGCTAGGATGCCAAATTCAATGTCTGAAAATAGAAAACTTAACTTTAACTGTACACCACACTGCTTTTAATGCCAACCGTAGTTGTCTTTGGATAAAAGGGGGCTGAATGAAGTGACAACCTAATTGAAAATATTCGACTCTTCAGTTTTCATGCTAGGTAAGTTCACGCTATGCTGAATCATACACATTACCCGTTTTTGATTGCAGCAATGATTTCAGCAAAAACATTTAAATATGGTTAATTAAACTGCAAAAACTGAATACTTAAAATGAAATGTAAAAATGTAAGTTCACATACTCTGCCGTACAGCTGAAGTTCCCTGTCAGAATACAGTTGTTTTGCTTGTTGGTGATTACCCAGGGGTTGTACAGCTCAGTCTTTTTTTCCTTGTCTTTGTATAGGCAGAACCTCGGTTTTTAGCACTAAGTTTTAAATCTGGTAATTATGGAACATTATTTCTTACACATGACCACACAGAACAAAATTGTTGTCATCCAAAGACTTGTAGGCCTTTAACTTCTTAAAAACACTTGGAGCTTCAATGAGATTGCATATTTCAGGCTGGATGCTTGGCCATTTCGTCTTATCCAATATCAGATGTCATTCCTTCGCTGTAAATGCTAGTGCTCTGGTTTTTTTCTGCAACCTCGGTGTGCGCATCTTTAAATTTTTACAAACATGGTAATTCATCTATACTTTGCCTGTTTTCTGTCAATGCAGGCAATAAGATACTTTGGAAACACACCTGTTGTCATAATGGTTTAATGCACCTGTGATAACTCCATGTCTTTTATTTGTTTTTTTTTAAAAGCCATGCCCTATTGTTGAATGCATTTTAACTATCATGTTACACCTTTTAACTTATTTTTAACTTAAACTTTGAAAGGGCAAAAAATTGCACCACTTCAAAGGAAACAAACAACATAGGGCATATATTAAAGACATATGGAAGCTTCCACCATGGATATATATATATATATATATATATATATATACTTTATTTCATAATTTTGACATTTATTCTCAGAACTGCAATATCTAATGCCAAAAAAATAAAGCCTTAAACTATAAATTAGCATCTGCTTGAAAGTCACAGTGCAGAGAGAGCATGACTATTCAGTTGAGATATATAATATTTACTGTAATATAAAAAACAAACTATAAAAATATATTTAAAAAAGCCCTCAATAATTATGACAATTTCTGACAAAAAATATGTTTTTGAAACAAATTAAGATACAAAAACATTAGCAATGGGGCGATGCAGTGGCGCAGTGGGTAGCATGTTCGCCTCACAGCAAGAAGGTCACTGGGTCGCTGGTTCGATCCTAAAACTCAGTTGGCGTTTCTGTGTGGAGTTTGCATGTTCTCCCTGCGTTCGCGTGGGTTTCCTCCGGATATTCCGGTGTCCCCCACAGTCCAAAGACATGCGGTACAGGTGAATTGAGTAGGCTAAATTGTCCGTAGTGTATGAGTGTGTGTGTGAATGTGTGTGGATGTTTCCCAGAGATGGGTTGCCACTGGAAGGGCATCCGCTGCGTAAAAACTTGCTGGATAAGTTGGCTTCATTCCGCTGTGGCGACCCCAGATTAATAAAGGGACTAAGCCGACAAGAAAATGAATGAATGAATGAACATTAGCAATCTGCTGTGCATGGTGCTGAAGACACTGTACTAAAAAAGTTTCTTTAAGGCTGTTCTTTACTCCTTCATTTGTCTTTTTTTTTTCAAGGCTATTAGATGGACATTTAGTATGTACAGGCTTGAACCTGGAGGACAGAACTGTCAGTACGAGGAGGACAAGGAGGCAGACAGACTGTCCCCAAACAACAGTCAGTCAACAGAACGAATGTCTCATTATCAAAGACTGTGGTCTGATGGTTAATGTGATCCGAGTGCCAGCTCAGTGCTGCTCACATTGACCCGGATATCCGAAGGGGATGCTTCAGTGGTTAAAGACTTAGCCTTTAAAATCTATACTGTAATTAAGTATGATCTATCTACTGATCTATTAATAAAGATAAGCTGAACTGCGCACACTTAGGCACGTAAAATGACTTTAAATAAAATACATACAGGCGACACAGTGGGTCACAGCAAGAAAGTCGCTGGTTCGAGCCCTGGCTGGGTCAGTTGGCATGTCTGTGTGGAGTTTGCATGTTCTCCTTGTGTTAGCGTGGTTTCCTCTGGGTGCTTCAATTTCCCTCACAGTCCAAAGCCAAGGGCTACAGGTGAATTGAAAAAGCTAAATTGGCCGTAGAGTATGCGTGCATGTGAGAGTGTATGGGTGTTTCCCAATACCCCATCAGGGATCGCCACAGCTGAATGAACCACCAACTTATCCAGCATATGTTTTACACAGCGATTGCCCTTCCAGCAGCAACCCATTATTGGGATATATATTATAATTCTCATACTCTTTACACTTGTATACATTGTAATGTATGAACTTTTTATCCTCTCTGCTATGTATGGTGCATTTTTGCAAAGACCCTGAATGTGCATGTTCTTCATGCTAAGATGCATTCAGTGGAGAAATGAAAATGAAAATTGAGAGAGACCTCGTCTGCCCCTGATGATTCAGCAAAAACGGCTAAGACTCAGTTACCTTCTCATGCATAGTAGAGTCACTGCCAGAGCTGCACATCATAACTTAGGCTGCATCGCTCAAATACAACAACAGATACATCAGGAGTCCCATTTCCTAAACACATATTTTCAGTGTGTGCAAAATGTTCTTGTTTATTGACTACTGCACAGTATATACATAAATAAAGTAACTACAAAGTCTCTTTGTCTACAAATGATCTGACTCAACGGTTTATAAACCAGATGATAGATTTGACCATTTGTGCCTGTGTCAACAGTATTCTTCAGTGTGGCCACAAAATAAATGTTACAGAGAGAGCGATTGTGCGTGGGGATGTGGTGGAGCTCAGACAGATGCAGAGGTGTGAAGTTGGTGTATGATCAATGTGTTTACAAAATACAGCCGAGACATTCAACATTTCTCATAACATCTACCAAAGTCCCCGTTTACACATCCTAAAGAAATTGTTCATCCAAAACTAAAATATTATGTCATCCTTCACCCACCATTTACTCGTCACAAACCTTGCATGAGTTTCTTTTTTTCCTGTTAAACACAAAATAAGTTATTTGAAAAATGTTGGAAACCTGTTACCATAGACTTGCATAATATTTGCTTTTTCCTACAATGAAAGTCAATGGTTACTGGTTTGTAACATTCTTCTAAATGTTGTCAACTATCCCTTTAACATGTATCCTGATGGATTAGATCAAAAGTAGATGAGAGAGACATTCATGATTGCCACTTTTGACCACTTTTCTAATTTTATAGAAGTTTCTTTTCTGATAACTGCAATACACTGACTGCTGTAGGACTGATCAGTTTGTTTGCTTGTTTGTGTGTTTATTTAGCATTTTTGTATAGTCCGCTAAAATTAATAAATTAAATCGTAGATGTTTTTTCTTTTTTTTTTCTTTTTTGCAGAAAGAAAAAAATATTTTGATAACCATGCAGTCTACTTCCCATTGACCTGCATTTTTTTTATTTACTTTGTACGTACAATAACGATGGGAAACAAAACTGTATGGTTAACATCTTCATGGATGACAATCTTCTTTTTCAATGACATTAGGATTAGTAAATGATGACATAAATACATTTGATTGACTTTCCCTTTAAGGGTTTGGAACTATTTTAGGGTTCATGTAATTTTCCTTATTTTTTTTCGCTTATAAAACATCTTACATTTAAGCGCAGTACCTCTAACAGATGCGCTCCAAGGCTCATAGCCATAGTAGCCAGTGATCCTCAGTATCCGCTCTTCTATGGAGGCATTTTGGATGTACTCGACGGATCTCGACGACTTTAACTCTTCATTCAGATCTTCATCAAGGACGAGGGACTTCAGCTGTCTGATCTGAGGACTGATATCTGACAGGCGGCGCGGACTCATGTCCGATGGCTTTCTCATTCCCCTGAAGTTGAAAAGACGCATCAAAACAGTATGTTAGCAAAAAAATACAGTTGGACGTACCAAAATGCATGTAAACAAAGCTGCGGCACGGCACTACTGCATTATGGATAACTGCAAAAGCACTTAAAAGAGGTATTTCAATTCAACGAGCTTTTCGTGCGCGCGCTCCTTTTGATGACTGTAGCCTAGTTTGTTGTTGTTGTTGTTTTTTTGCTAGCAACTCACTCTGACACAGAGATGTGCTGCTTCAGTCGACATTCTGATGAGCCCATTTTAAAAAGTAGCTTAAGAATCAAGCGTTTATAAATTGTACAATGTCAGAAGGGCATCCAGAACGCTGGGGCGGATGGAGATACGAAGACACGACCACCTGTGAACTCAATGCGCCTGCGCTGACGAAAACTCTTGATTATCCCAGTTAATATAAGCTTCGAGTACATCCATAATCTTTATCTTTTGATGGCATTTTCTTATCCACGTGGTATAATAATTGATCTTAAACATTTCATTTTTACAAGTCATTTAATTTAGCTCATCCAGTATGGGCGGAAATTTAGTCTTAAGGACTGTTTCATAACTATTCTTTATCTGTGTCTAGATTTTTACTAAGCATCCACATATCTACTTATAGCTATGGAAGAAAATGAAAAGTTCAATTGAGAATTCTCAATTCTCTGTCTCTCTGGATTTTCAATTTCAGGTCTAAAGTTTTGTAACACAACCGTTTTATTCATTACGCTACTGACATTTCTTCCAAATGTAATAGGCCTATATATATATATATATATATATATATATATATATATATATATATATATATATATATATATATATATATATATATATATATAAATTATTAATTTTTTTTTGCTTAAAAAAACAAAAAGGTGTGATGTTTATATTAATTTTCAAAGCATATGCTTGCTTTTTTAGGATGCACATTAACTTGTTTTTCATTTCTTCGGTGAAAGAAACAGGTAAATTGCAGCAAACACAGCAGCCCAGCACAGCCCATCTGTCTGGCACAGCAGAGATGGCAGTGCATGGCAGGAGGAAAAGAAGGAAACTGGCCAAAGGTGGATGAGGAAGGAAGTAGCTCTTGGAAGGTGGTAAGATTCCCAGGAAGAAAAAAATGCAATCAAAGCATTGAAGATTCAACATTAATCTCCTCCACTTAAGTGCTTTAATTAAAAATTTAGGACATGAAACTTGCAAATACTGTAAGGTGTCTACTTTAACATTTCAAATATATTTAGGAAGAATTAAATATGGATAAAATAAGGTTCCATCATCATTCAGTGAATTTGTGTATCAGATACTACTACTACTACTACTACTACTACTACTAACAATAATAATAATAATAAAAGTAACATCAATTTAGTAATTAATAAGTAAATAATATACATATAAATTACATGCTCATTCTGACCATTACTCATTAAAATAGATGATAGAATAATTGATCATACTTATTTTTATAGACTTTTAATCATAACAAAGCTTCTTGCTGACAAATGGGTGAAATTAGCTTAAGTTCGAAAGAGTAAATATTTAAAATGATAATTATGTAGCATTTTGGAAGCCATTAAATGTGTTATCAAATGACTCATATTCAAAATATGCCCATTTTTTAATATTTAAAACACTGTTTATTGAATTTTTACTGCGCCTTCAGTAAGTCACAATGTAGTAAAGTCTTTTTTTTTTTGCTCAACTAAATTAAAATAAATAGAATAAACAGATTCTATGTAATAAATTATACGTAATTCTATATAATAATCTATACAATAAAGTTATTACATTTGCATTCTTCATAAAAGGAATAATTTAAAAGTACATACATTTTTTTATTTAAATTAAGCCCACATAAATTGCTTGCAGTCAATTACCTAAAAAAAAAAAAGTTTAATTAAATTAATCTTTTTTTTTTCAGTGTAGCAAACCCCCTTTTGACTTTGACACAAAAACTAATGTTTTGCCTAAAAATTGAAAATTCAGAAAACTCTTGCTAGTTTAGTCCAGAATATAAAAAGCCTATATTTGCTAGTTACAGGATTGGGCAAAACTACATAGAAATGCATCTTAAAACAAATACCTTAAGTTTAAGTGTATCAAAATAAACTACAAAATACAGCAGCCACAAAATGTATCAAAATAAAATACAGTATTTTTGTATTTTAAAAATACTGCAAAATACTTTTGTAAAAGAGCATGATATCAGCCCCTTTACCATTAAACTGACGCTTCAATACTCAATGTAAAACATGATTTCTGAAAACTTTAGGTTAACTTTAATGTTGTCCGTTTTTGCAAATAAATTGTTGTGTCACTTTGACATCTTTAGGCAGACATCTTTCCTCATTTACTATACAGTGCAACTATACCGGCTGTTCATCTACTGGCATTTAAAACACCCTACAATGAAGTATTGTAGGAATTGCCACTGTAGGACTTAATTTTATGTTGTTTGTTTTAAAGAAAAAATATTTGGCATCAGCAATCCATATTATTTGTACATTATACTGTTTCTCTGAATATTTATTATTATTATTATTATTTTGGTTCTTCTTTAAATGGAAAAGTTAATAATGTTTAAAGCACCAATTAGAGGGTGCATTTATATGATGTAGACTTATTACAAAGTATTTTACAGTATTTTAAAAATACAAGACACTAAAGTATTTTGATACAAGGCATTTCCATTATCCCAATTAAATACAAATGACGTATTTGAAATACATGCGTCATAAATACTGCCCATCCAACTTGACTTAATACAATTCAGTCACAGAATAATTTTGTCCGTTAGTCATTAAAGTGCCACTCAGATTAGCGTAATGAAAAGTAAAAGTTGTACCTGTCTTTCTGAGGACCCTGTAGCTGTAGTGGAGTCTCGTCCTCTTTCTGCATTGCGCCGGCACATCATGTGTGGGGATTTATCCCTGCAGTGTGGCAGCTTCACGCTCCACAGCCAGTTTTTGAAAGATGGCTAGCAGTGGGGGTGTGAGCCACAGTCTGTATGTGTGTGTGTGTGGTGAGCGAACAGGACTTCATTGTAACTGGTTGGCACCTATCGATCGGAAGCAGCGTCTCTACCCCAGCACAAGCCTCAGTCTGGACCTGAGCTTAGCTAAGCAAAAACTTCTGACAGCGCCGTCAATACCCTCCCGTTGGAAAACACCATGGGGAGAAGCCATGAGGTCTGCCCTGCATATGCTTAACTTCAAATTGAGCTTGGCACACACTGTAGCGAGACCTGACATCTAATGAAGCTTGGATAAACACAGGCCATGGGAGAGGGAGTTTAATTGAAAAATCTTGGGTGAGAACTGTCGAAGCGCTCTGGTGGAGATTATTCGCATTTATCAAGGACGATCCAAAGGCAAAGGCAAAAGGAGACGTTTATATATAACACCTGCGGTGTTCAATAGTTGGTTCACTTGAAGGGGAGCTGGAGGGTAAGATGACCGCAGGTGGCACCAAATCTCATCTCAGCATATTTAATGAATAGAGGCGGTTTTGCTAATTTCGTCATCTCAATGTTTGTGGGATTTACTGTAGTCTTTTTTTTTTTTTTTTTTTTTTTTTTACAGTTTTGATGTTAACAGAGCTCCATTTGTGTCTGAAAATAGTAATCCGTGACTTATAATATAAAGACTCTTCATTCGTTTATTCATTTACTTTTTGGCTTAGTCCCTTTATAAATCTGTGGAACGGAATGAACTGTCAACTTATCAAACATATGCTTTACGCAGCGGATGCCCTTCCAGCTGCAACACATCACTGGGAAACACCCATACACACTCATTCACACACATACACTACGGACAATTTCGCTTACCAAATTCACCTATACCTCGTGACTTTGGACATGTGGGGGAAATCGGAGCACCCTGAGGAAACTCACATGAACATGGGGAGAACATGCAAACTCCATAAAGAAATGCCATCTGACTCAACCAAGACTTGAACCAGCGACATACTGCCCGTCATTTACACTAAAGTAGATCTAATCAAAAATGTTATTCTTCAGTTGAACACAAAACAAGATAATCTGAAGATTGTTAGAAAAAGCCGTCACTGATCCATATTAGGAAGTGAATGGCAGTTAAACATTCTTCAAAGTATCATCCTTTGTGTTTAACAAAAGAAAGAAGCTCAAATAGGCTTGGAACAAGTGTATAATGAAGTAAATAATGATAGAATTTTCCCAGAAACTATAACTTCTAAAATAAAAAAATAAATAACAACAATAATAAAAAAATCATAAAACAGATTTATTTGTGGATAATCATGCTTTAGATTTTTACCTTTAAACAGGATTGTATTACTATAGTATTGGGATGTGACAAGATTTTGTTAGACGAGATCTCGCGAGAATAAATCACGACAAGGTGAAAAGATGTCTCGTGAGTTGTGATGTTATGATGGAGCGAGTGGATAAAATTATCATTGAAGACTGGAGACAGGATTGCAATTGAACATTTGAACCACAAATCAAGCGCTTTGAACAAATCTGGAAATCCAGGGTGGCCTCGGAGTTGCATGTCACTTTTGCTTGGGCGGGTGTGACGTAACTGCTTTTTTTATTCATTGGAGTTCAGCTACTGTCGCTTCCTACAGACGCTACAACTGCACCCACACACATTAACCATAGTTCATAACCATGCAATGGAATAGCACTTTAGATACACTGAAAGTCATAATCATCGTAAACACAAACCGAATTAATACAAATAAAGTACTACAATTCTTTTATTACAATTTTTTAAAACACCTAAATTGTTTTGCATTTTTGTGATTTTTTTTCCGGCTATTTAGCTAATATTTAAAATGTATTAATTATATATATATATATATATATATATATATATATATATATATATAATTAATACATTTTAAATGTTATTATATATACACTCATATGCACACTCATAGCAGTGCGATATGGCTGTATAGCAGCACTGGTGGGAGGCGTGCGTTAGCACAAGGCCGCAGGCCGAGTCCCTTAGTGCCCCCACCAGTGCTGATATACAGCCATATCGCACTGCTACGAGTGTGATATTGCGTTTATACAACAGTTTGACGGCATAACTGTGTATATAAAAACAAAATCAAACATGGAGAGTCTCAAAAACCCTTTAGTATGAGGAACTACTTTCTTCTAAATTCAAATCATAAGCTGACAGTTAAACAGTTGAGCGTGCATCTTTTAAACTTTAGATCTGTAGTGTCTGCTTTTTGCTAGCTGTATGTGGGCGTATACACAAAGGGTAAAGAGGCTGTAGGAGTTCTGATATTGCAGAATATCGCATGGCTATCAGCCAATCAGATTTGAGAACCAGACAGAACTGTTGTATAAATATATATATATATATATATATATATATATATATATATATATATATATATATATATATATATATATATATATATATATATATATATATATATATTTATATATATATATATATACTGAAAAACCTGAAATGGGTGTGACAGACAAAGGAGGCATTTAAAACATGCAGTGCTGGTGGTCTTTCTAGAACATGATTGAGAAACACTGCTTTACTGCATAGAATTGATCAAAATAGAAGTTAAATTAAAAGTCGATTTTAAAAAAGCACCAAATAGTTTGCAATTTGTGATTTTTTTCAGTTGAATAAAGACTATTTTTTACACTCTTTAAAGTGTAAAAAGAAGACGCAGTGGCGCAGTAGGTAGTGCTGTCACCTCACAGCAAGAAGGTCGCTGGTTCGAGCCTCGGCTGGGTCAGTTGGTGTTTTTGTGTGGAGTTTGCATGTTCTCCCTACGTTTGCATGGGTTTCCTCTGGGTGCTCCCGTTTCCCCCACAGTCCAAAGACATGCGCTATAGGTGAATTGGGTAGGCTAAATTGTCCATAGTGTATGAGTGTGAATGAGTGTATATGTATGTTTCCCAGAGATGGGTTGCAGCTGGAAGAGCATCCGCTGCTTAGAACATGTGCTGGATAAGTTGGTGGTTCATTCTGCTGTGGCGACCCCGGATTAATAAAGGGACTAAGCCGAAAAGAAAATAAATGAATTAATTAAAAATGTAAAAATCTCATCTCATCTCGTCTCGTTCTTGTGAACAAAATCTCCTGTTTTGTCTTGTCTCATGGAGTAAGCGCCTTGTCACACCCGTACTTTTGTATAATATTTTACAATGTTCATGTAAATTATACAAACATGCATCCTGCTATATAATTTAGAACACTGAAATATACTAAAAAAAATAATTATGATCAAATTTCATTAGGAACTCAAAGCTATTTGTTCAGTTGTTTATCTGAAGTCTTTACCACTGCAATGGTTTGCAAACAGTGTGGCTAAGCTTTTGTAGATGATCCAGAACTCAACAGCATGTCATCTATTCTTTAATTAGTCAAAGCAAGCACAAATCACACTCTTCCTGATTTCACTCCACTGGCTCCTGGTTGTGGCCAGAATCAAATGTTATCAACTACTTGCTAATTCACTACAAATGTATCCTTCTATGTGCCATCAACTCAGAATGAACAGCATTTTGCTGCTGTTCCCAAAACGTACACCCTCTGGTGGAAGGAGCTGCCAATCTCAGCTCAAACTGCTGAAAGCATCACATTTTCCAAGTAGCAGCTGAAAACACAGCTCTTTAGATGTTCACATCCCAAATCTGCTCTTCTGGATTGAGGTCGAGTGACTGTGGAGGCTTTTTGAGTTTAGTTGACATTCTGAGAACTAGCTTGAGGTATTTTGAGCTTTGGTGTATTATCCTGATCAACCATCTTTCAAATGAAGCAGCAGAAATTGAGATGTCTAACTTTGAGCCCAAGCAAATTAAAGACTCAACCTCCTTCCTCAAATTTACAACATGGGGAAAAATTTGTCATAATTTTGGACCGTAGGTTGTGGCATTTAAAGGATGCTAACTTGGTATACCCAAAATAGCCAAAAAATTAGTTACCCACACCGTTACACAACCAGCAGCAGCCTGAGCCTTTAAAACAAAATATCACACGTTCATGCTTTCATGTTTTCACTCCAAATTCTGATTGTACCATAAGAATGTTGAATCAGAAATCAACGGTGCATTCCAACTGAGATATATTACTTTCTGAAGGGCATTTTGAAGTGAAAACAATTGCATGTAGCCACCATATTAAAAAAAAATCCAAATTAAAGTGCTCAAAAGAACTTTGAAGAAACTTTCGGAATGATGGATCCTTTCCGTAGGATATTTATTTACCTTCAGAAAGGCTTATTCCTATGCCCAAATGCCTTCAAAGTTTCCACTCTGAAGGCTAAAACCTTGGAAGAATTGGAGCATAGGGATGAGACCATTCAAATAGAATGCAGTACAAATCTTATCATATCAAGCAACATTTTTTCAACCTGACAGGCTTCTGCTGCTGTAGCTCATCAGCTTCAAGGTTCAATGTCTTGTGCATTTATAAATACTCTTCTGCAGATTTTAAGTGGTTAAAATTAGTTGAAACAACAAAATTCCTAAGTTTTTGTGACAAAATAGTTGTTTTATGTTCAATCCACTTAAATTCATAAAAGATGATTAAGTTAAAAATCAATTTGTGTTGGGACAACATGAAGGAATTGTGTGGAACCCAGCATTATTTACAGTGTATCTGTTCACACTATAAATATCAATGGCTGCTGGTTTCCACCATTCTTCAGTAAATCTTGTTTTGCGTTCAACAAATTTTTATTTTGAGGTGAACTATCCCTGCAATATGTTATACTCTTTGCAAGCAATTGTCTCATTTGTGAAAATTTCTGAGTAATTTTATAAAAGTAACTACAATAAATTATGCATTACCAAGACCTCCTGAGGCACGAAAACAAGATAAAATTACCATTTGCAGGTTAGTAGTGCATCTAAAATAAAAGATTTCTCATGGCTTGAGGGAATTATTCATTTTTTGTAAGAAAAAACTCAAATAAATCTATTCAAGCCAAATGAACAAGCTCAGTTTTCCCAGTAATAGTATCCTATGCTTTGATAATGAATGTGACATTCAAATGAATGCCTAGGAGCAACTTAGGAATGACTTTTACAGTTTCTCACACCCTTAGTGACTGTAATCCGTCCTGTTTAAGTTTAACAAGGTGAGCACAGCTGCAGGGTCTTGTTAACATAACCTCGGCTCAATTTCAGCACCACTATTGCAGGACGGCATCACATTCACTCCCAAACAGCAGAGTAAATATCTCTTTAAACAGTGCTGAGCAGGCATCCTGATAGACTGTCAACAGACTCCACAGCTGCTCAGCTCAACAAAGCCTTTTCGGCCTAGCAAAATTATGCCAATAAACATCTCTGAGGGTTGGAGGAGATGTGTTTAGTTTGCATTTATACTGTGTTAAAGTTCTGCATGTACACAACATCGCGATTGGTTGAATAATGGGGACAATGCTATCACAATGTACTGTTTTTAAAGTGCTTCAATATACAATTATTCAATAGTCGCACAACATTAAGCATCTTTAGTAATTGTAATGG